AGGTGGGTCCTGGGGGGTTGATTTCCTCCTCCCTCTGTGACTGGGGGCGGTCCTCAGACTCAGTCTTCAGTCCTGGCGAGTGGGCGCAGTGCAGCTGGCCTCCTCGGTCTTCTCTCTGCTGTGAATAATTCCGGGGAGCCTGCTGCGTGCAGGATGTCACTCCTGGGGAAAATGAATCCGCTCTCCCTGTGCTCCCCACATCTCGGCTGTCTGCCGTTTCGTTCACCTGGCTTCACTGGTGTGTTCCTCTATCCAACAGCACCGAGGGGGGTGGGGCGGTTCAGCGAGTTTAGGCCAGAGACCCTGTCACTTTGGAGCAGGCCTGGGAATGGGCCAATGCCCAATCTGTTGTCCACACTGCCCCCAAACCGGTTCCGATCCCCCCACAACTTAGTAATTTTATCACAAATACAAATCACCTGCATCCTCGTGTATTAATGCTCACATGCCTTACATTAGTTCCTAACTAGTTTAAAATGACAAAACCACGTAGATGATGACAACTACAATAATGATAATAATAGCGAATGCTATGCTGAGAGTTTCACACGTGTTAACTTATTTAATCACAGCAACCCACAGGGTAGGTCCTTGTCCTCGTGGTTTTACAGGTGAGGGGACTGAAGCACCGTGGGTAGGCAGCTTGGTCAGAGTCTCCCAGCGGTCAGATGTCGGGCCGGGACTCACACTCGGGCAGTGCAGCGAGGGAGTGTGTGTGACAAACGCCCCCCCCCCCCCCCCGAATGAACAGTGTGCCATCCGACGCCTAGTGCCATGTAAGCCATACACATGCAGCACAGGAGAAAACCCTGGCCCCCTGACCTGTTACGGTGAATCTTTGCCACTTTGTATATGACAACGTCACAGTGCATATATGCCGTAATAGGTGATGTGCTGTGGCGTTTGTGCACATACAGAATTTAATTATTATTATTATTATTAAAAAATATATATTTTATTGATTTTTTTACAGAGAGGAAGGGAGAGGGCTAGAGAGCCAGAAACATCGATGATAGAAACATCGATCAGCTGCCTCCTGCACACTCCCCACTGGGAACGTGCCCGCAACCAAGGTACATGCCCTTGACTGGAATCGAACCTGGGACCCTTGAGTCCGCAGGCCAACGCTCTATCCACTGAGCCAAACCGGTCAGGGCTTTAATTATTTTTTTAACTTTTTATAAGTGCCTGTAGTACAATAGACAGTGTTGCGTGTGGTTTTTTTTAACCCTTAACTGAGAATATTTTTCCATTGATTTTTAGAGAGTGGAAGAGGGAGGGAAAGACAGAGAGAAATATCAATGTGAGAGAAACACATCAATTGGTTGTTTCCCACATGTGCCCCGATCAGGGCCCGAGCCAGGGAGGAGCCTGCAATCGAGGTACTTGCCCTTTGGTCTGCAGGCCGATGCTCTATCCACTGAGCCAAACCAGCTAGACCTTAATTAGAGTGTTTCACACAAGTTTTTTTTTTTTTTTATCCAAAAGTAACACTACATCCAGAATAGAAATATATCAAATAGTACAGAAGGGCAGACAAGGAATGTAAGTCTCTCCTACCCCCAACCTCAGCCCTCTCACCTGGGAAGCCACTTTGCCAGATTCCAGAATTTTTCTATGCATATGCAAATGTAGAGATTTTTTTTTTTCTTAAAGGCAGATGGGAGAATACAGTAGACATTCCCCTGGACCAGTGGTTCTCAACCTTCTGGCCCTTTAAATACAGTTCCTCATGTTGTGACCCAACCATAAAATTATTTTCGTTGCTACTTCATAACTGTAATGTTGCTACTGTTATGAATTGTAATGTAAATATCTGATATGCAGGATGGTCTTAGGTGACCTCTGTGAAAGGGTTGTTCAACCTCCAAAGAGTCGCAACCCACAGGTTGAGAACTGCTGCCCTGGACCTCTTTTTTTCAGGAGTTCTTAGAGCTTAGAGATCATTGCATAGTGGGTGTGTGTGTCTTTCCTGCTTCCCCGGCTCTGTGGTATTCCATCGTGTAGAACATGCAGAATTTACTGCGCTCGGGTGATGCGTTTAGCTCTTGGACTCCCCGATCTGCAGCGCTACAGCGGACACCCTTGCACCTCCGTGCACATGGGCAGGTGCACCTGCAAGAGAGGCTGGGCCCGGGCCGGTTCTCGCGGGGGGCGGGGTGGGGGAGGGTACAGCTGCCTCCAGGGGCCGCTGGTTCATGCCCCCATCCGCGCTGCGTGGCCTGCACTGGGTACCCACAGACCTCAGCCCTCACTGTGAGAAGGAGGGTGCTGTTGTATTTTGCGTGTGTGAGAGAACACCCTAATGGCGATGCCTGGCTGCTCTTCCCTCCCCAGGTGAACATGGATGACCGGTTTGGGCAGATCATGGTCGAAAACCTGCGGAGACGACAGTGTGACCTGGCGGGGGTGGAGCCCTGCAAGTCCTTAGAGTCCCAGGTCAGAGCAGAGGCGGGCATCCCCTCACACCCTTGGCCAGCCTCGCAGGCGGAGCGCCCGGCCGCGGGCCAGGCTCGTGCGGCCACCAGTTCTCACGCTAGTGCAGTCCAACCCTGCTTCCCATGTTGGTATCAAATGCGTATTTCCTACACCCTATTATTTACCTTTTTATTATGCATTTTTCAAACAACGGAGAAGTAGAGGGAATAGTAAAACCAGCAGCCATGTCCCATCAGCCAGCTTCAATAATTAATATTCTGTAAATACTGCTCATTCCCTCCAAACTTTTATTGGTGGTGGTATTGGACTGTTTTAAGGCAAATCCCAGATCGTATATCATTTCCCTCCTAAATACTCAGTATAAATCTCCATAGACCAATAGGAATGATGATACCATGATTACAGCTTGGAAACTGGCAGTAACTCCTTCGTAGCTTCTAACACCCAGTTCATGTTCAGTTTTCCGCAGTTATTTTTTAAAATGTTCAGAGTTGGTGCATTTGAATCTTTTTTAATTTTTTTTTTTTTTTGCTGAAGAGATACCTCCCACTCTGCCCTCATTTAAATAGGCACTGCATGTTCAGTGTAGGACATTGGGAAATAAAAAGAAGGAAGACAGTAGGGGCCAGGATGGGCTTTTGAAGGAGGAGGCATGTAAGGAATTGTCAGTGGTTAGAGACGCCCGCATTCACGACGGTGCCTTGTGGCTCTCCATTCTCTCCACTCTCCTCGCACGGCTCAGAAGGAGCGGTTCCTGTCGAACGGGTGGGAAACGGCGTCGGCCGTGAACATGATGGAATTGTACAGCCGGCTACCTCGGGCCGAAGTCAGCAGGTACGGCCCCTGTCCTGTCCTCTCACGTAGACTCCTCGTGAATCACGTTGCCCTCCTGGTACACATTAGACACTCCGCCCGACGGGAACGAGGCAGCTCTCAGCCGAGATCGGGTTTGCGCCCAAACAGGTGACCTGCATCCACCCGAAGCGGTGACCCTGCAGGGCTCCCAGGGCTGCCTCCAGGTGGACACTGGGTGATCCTCGTGGTTGGAGTGGGAGGGAAGGTCTCTCACAGGTTTTTAAATGGGCTTTTCCTCTCATTGTAACAGAAATACACGCTGGTTCTAAAAAAGTTTTCAGGCATGTAAAGCAGTTGAGGTTTAAAGTGCTTTCTGCACCCAGGCCTCCAGAGAGCCATTCACAAGTGGGCGCCCCCTTCTCTCACCCACGCCCTCTGAGGGCCGCTCACAAGCGGGTGCCCCCTTTCTCTGCACCTATAAAGAGAAGTGCTTATTGGCAGATTAGTGTTTTTTAATTGGTAGATTCATATTACATGTGTGTCTACAAACCACCTTGCTTTCTAACAAACCTAACAATAAGTTATATTTATCTTTACCTATCACAGCAGTGCGGTCCCTGTAGCCAGAGGGTGTATCACTCCTGTGGTGTGTGGACGTGTGGGTGGGTGGTGGTGTCCTGTGTTTTATTTTGTTTCAGTTCCCTGTTATACAACCACTGCTGGCCCGGCCGGTGTGGCCCAGTGGATTGAGCATTGTCCCGTGCACCAGGAGGTCATGGTTCAGTTCCTGGTCAGGGCACATGCCCAGGTTTCGGGCTCGATCCCCAGTAGCGGGTGTGCCGAAGGCAGCCCATCAGTGTTTCTCTCTTTTCCTTTCCCTTCTCTCTCTAAAAAAAACCCACAATAAAAACATATTTAAAAAACACCACTGGGGGGCACGTGGCCATGCTCACCTCTGGCCAGTGTGGGCGCCAGCGTGTTCGGTTTCTGTCATCATTCTGTACTTCTGCTCTGTGCTTCCTCCTGCCTTTGGGGACCCACAGGTAGAGTTGTTGGTCTCTTGCCAGATACTGAGAAAATACTGGGTCTTGCTCTCCACAGCCCTTCTTAACTGTGGGAAGCACGACTTGTTTCCAGTCTGTACGTCAGATCCTTGAAGGGCTGTCTCCACGTGATCCGGCCGATGCCTCCTGGGTTGTTCTAGTTTTCCATCCCCATGGGCTGGTCTCCACTGGCTTCATGTCAGGAGGACTGTTGTGAAGAGCCCTGGTCTGGCGCCTGTGACGGCACGGGGCTCGCGGCTGTCCTGGGAGCCCGGGGAGGCGTCTCACCGCCTGGGCCACCGGGCAGCGGCTCCGGGGCAGCCCGTCTCATGTCGCCAAGGCCTTTGCAGACACGTGTCCCAACAGAGGGGGGTGAGGGGGACAGCTCTGGTGTGTCTGCCCTGGGCTACGGTCCTCCCCACTCTGAACGCCATGTAGTTGGTGTCCACGTTCGCCAAGGGCTTTGGAGGGTATGTGCATGAAAAGCCCAAGGCAGGCCCGTTGACCGAGCCGGTGCTGCCTGCGCAGTGTGTGCTACGCCCTTTCTAAGCACAAGAGGAATAACTGGCCCGAACCGGGCAGAGATGAGCCTGCGTGTGGCGTTCGCAGCCGAGCTTGGAGGTCACCTCCTTGGTAGGGTGCTGGTTTCTTCTGGAACTTGATATTAGGACGCCTGCCTTGAATGTCTTCTGATTCGTTGGGAACATCAGTTAGGAAGCAACCCAAGTCCTTTATGGATAAACATTCTCACTTCAGATGTGACCCTTAGGCCTGAATACCGAGGCAGGAACACACACACGTACAGAAACGTGAGACGTGCACAAATGTGCACTTACGCACCCCCTCCCCCACCCCCACACACAGCCTGGGCAAAAGGCAGTGCCCAGTGCTGCTGTTGGCTATTGTGAATAGTAGGAATATGGGTCATGTTTTATTTTTTTCATACTTTTTGGAAATGCCTGAATTCCACCCCCACCCCCCACAGTGTGTGCATATGGCAGAAAATATTTTAAAAACCCATATCATATATTTGTGCATGTTTCAGTGTGTGCATACCTTCAAAAAGTTTACATTTAAATGCTGTTTTGAAAAAAATCATACAAACGTGATTAAGAAAAAGAAACGAGCAAAAACAAAAGCCCTCACCCTACTCACTGCTCGCCACTACCTCCTGGCGGTGTTGTCTGTGTTTCCAAGATGGTCTGCTCTGTGCACGTATGAGCCCACCCTCTCTGCATAGCGGCAGTAAACCACGCACCTTCCTGCCTGAGCCGCCTGCTGTCTAAAGGCCGTGCTGCGTCCCAGAGGCTGTCCTGCAGGCTGCAGGCGTCCGTGCGTGCTGGACCCGCCAGCGTCTCTAGGTCAGGGTCTTCGCTGTCCCTGTGTGGCAGCCGGAAGCTTCGGTGAGTGCTCTGGGACTCCGGCCGGAGCAGGTGCAGGGTAGGGCATCCCGCTGCGAGCTGACAGGTGCCACTGTCCTGGCAGGACGGCGCCTCCCCAGTCCTCTCCACGGCATGCTGGCCTTGTGATCCTCGTCCGTCTGAGAGGTAGGAAGGTGTCAAGTATTTAAATCTACATTTCTTTTCTCCAAAGTGAAATTGAAAACCTCTTGTTCTTCTTTTCTAGTGGTCTCGTCTCTTAAAAATTAAAGTATAGCTGACATATAGCATTATATAAGGTCAGATGACAGCATAGCGATCAAACATGTATATACATCACTGTTTACGCTCTGCTGTGGATTAAATTCTGTAACTTATTTATTTTAAACTGGCACTGATTTGTATTTTATTCTTATTTATATTCAAGTTAATCCTCCCCCGAGGATATTTTTTTCCCATTGCTTTTTAGAGAGAGTGGAAGGGAGGGAGGGATGGGGAGAGAGAGATAAACTTCGATGTGAAAGAGACACATTGATTGGTTGCCTCCTGCATTCTGCCTGACCAGGGCCAGGGATCAAACCTGTAATCCAAGAACATGCCCTTGACTAGGAATTGAACCTGTGACCATTGGGTGTGCTGGCTGACACTCTTAACCACAGAGCAACACGGCCAGGACAAACTTTTATTGATATTTAGAGGAAAGGAGGGAGGATGGAGAGAAGTCAGAGGAAAGAGAGGAAGAGGGAGAAACATCGAAGTGAGAGAGAAACATGAATGCGAGAGAGCAATGTTGATCAGTTGCCTCCTGTGCCCACCCTTACCGGGAGTTGAACCTGCGACCTGGGTATGTGCCCTGACCAGACTCGAACCCACCACCTTTTGGTGTACGGGACAAGGCTCCAACCATCTGAGCCACCAGCCAGGGATGTAACCTATTTAAGTGGAAGTGTGTGCCTCTATCCCCTTCACCTTTTCATTCTTCCCCCACCCCATCCATCTTTTAAATGAACTTTTGAAGTTTTTCGTATTGAAGTACAACAGCTCTTTATGCAGCAAGGGAATCTACCTTGGTTATTTACGTTGCAAATATTTTTTCTAGGTTATCTTTTGATTTTGCTTATGGTGCTTTTCCTTCTTTTTCATTGATTTTTTTACAGAGAGGAAGGGAGAGGGATAGAGAGTTAGAAACATCGATGAGAGAGAAACATCAATCAGCTGCCTCCTGCACACTCCCCACTGGGGATGTGCCCGCAACCCAGGTACATGCCCTTGACGGGAATCAAACCTGGGACCCTTGAGTCTGCAGGCCGACACTCTATCCACTGAGCCAAACCGGTTAGGGCGCTTCTTTTTAATAAAAATAAGTTACCGTGGAAGCGCTCCGTAGCTACTCCTTGTAGGCTCTCACGTGGTCTGTGTCCTGTGCGCCTGGTCCTCGCTGTTAACCGTGCTCACCGTCTGTTCTGTGTTGACTCTGCAGGATCGAGTCCCTCGAGTTCCTGGACGAGCTGGAGCTCCTGGAGCAGCTCATGTGCCACTACTGCCTGTGCTGGGCCACCCGCGGGGGCAGCGAGCTAGGTACCGTGCACCCTGTCTTCGCCCCAAAGTGGGGACCTTTTACTCTGCAAGGAAAGTACGACATCCGAGCTTTGAGTGCAGAGGGCACTAGCGCCCGTGCCTGTGCCCGGGACCGTCTCGGGATTGGCCATCATGTCCCGTGTCCCACACACAGAAGCGGGAGAGGTGTCAGGGAGAGCCCGAACCAAACCAGCCAGCCACCCCGTGCAGGTGTGCGCAGGATCGCCGCAGGGAGGCGGAAGACCTTGCGTTTAAAGCAATAGTGATCTTAATCAAAGTGACCAGGGTCTGTCTTCATTAGCTCATACCCATGTCTCCTGGGTGGTAAACACGGACCGGTGTCTCTCATCCACTGCGGGCGACGCTGCCCAGCCGGTCGAGCAGGGCTTCCCTGGTGCTCCTGGCACCGGGGCCTTGGTCCAGTTTCTCCTCACAGCTTCCCACGTGGCCCTGCTTCCTCGGGGCGCCTGCAGACTGTGGAGAGTGCTTTAGATCCCAGCTCGGGCCTTGAACGTGGTAACTGCCCCGCAGGCTTCCTACAGATGTGACCCAGGGAGGGGCAGCTGTAGTCAGGCAGCTGATGCAGCGGGAGAACATGACCAAGGCCAGCTCTGACCCCGTGAGAAACTGCAGGCTGGCATGAGGCGGTTAATCATTGCCCCGGGCCTGTCTCCCCACTGCTTTATAAATTTACTCAGCTGTGCAGCTCAGCCCACAACACCCTTTTCTATTTGTTTTTTTATTTAAAACTAGAGGCCTGGTGCATGACATTCGTGCACTTGGGGGGGGGGTGGTCCCCTCAGCCTGGCCTGCGCCCTCTCGCAGTCTGGGACGCCTCGGGGGATATCCGACTGCCGGCCCAGGGGGAGTGGGTCTAGGCTGGCAGTTGGACATCCCCTGAGGGGTCCTTAGTGTTGCTGCGGAGGCAGGAGAGGCTCTCACCATCACGCTGCACTCGCCAGCCGTGAGCCTGGCTTCTGGCAGAGCGGTGCTCCCCGTGTGGGAGTGTACTCACAGCAAGGGGGCAGCTCTGCATTGAGCG